TACAAATAAAACCAAATTTAAAGGCTGTTGCATTTTATTGCCTTTTTTCTTTCCTTTTCTTAAAGTTATGAAGGCATCTTGGATGCCATTTCAGTGAGTGTGGGGAAATGCCCCACACTCTTTTCTATCTGCTTTGAATGCACAGACTGGTCTTAATGTTGATCTTTGTAATCTTCAGTATTAATATTTGTAAATGTTAACTATGAGGATTTTTTTTAATGATGTATAACGTTTGTAATGATTATACAAAGTTATATATGATTAATCATCCATTTATTAGATAGGTGAGCTATTTATACATTTTAAATATTGAATGATCAATTTTAAATCATGATCTAATTCGTGTCCTGGTCCATACTGTGAAGGCACGACAGAAGTATATGTAAGGGCTAAGGTTTCCTCGGTGTCCAGTACAAAATGTAAATTTGAACTTCATATTCTTATTTTCTTTCAAATGAACCTTAATGTTTTTAAAGTTTCTTCTGTGTTGTATTTAAATAGTTACAGTTTAAACCCAGCCTGCAGTCAGATTTAGTTGTTTGTTTGTAACACGGTAGTTTTCAGCAGCAGTGATGTATGAGCAGCATGTTTGAGTGTTTTCAGGGTTTGTTTTTTTTAGTTTATTTTGTGTCGGCCAAAGTCTGGCTCGTCTGTCTGGGTCGCTCTTAAAGGCGACGTGTGGCTGTCTGCTGCTGCGGAGATCAGCTGCGAGGAGCTTTTTCTCAAAAATGCTCCCCAAACTTCAGGGCCTGGATGAACCGACAGGACCCGCCGCCCTCCGCTCGGTCAGAGGCCGGACTGTAACGGGCTCAGGTGTCAACTGAAAACGGTGAGTTTAACGTCGGCGGCGGCCCGACGGGGCTAGCTAGCAGGCTAACGTCACATCTGTGCGGCTGTGATTGGAGTCCGGAGCTCTGACGGTTTTCCAGATGCCGCCGTTTGTCCGTCTGAACGGAGAACACCGCCACCGGGGAAAAAACATCTGCACCGCGAGCACAGCTGCATTTCCAACCTGCAGCTTCGCTTTTGTAGCGGTAAAGTTAAAGTGTGCAGTCCAGCTGTTGATTTTTTTTTCCTTTTTTTCTCCCATAAAGTCTGCCGGTTATGTCCGGCGTGGACTGTGCGGGTTTCTGATGATTAATTAATGAGTTTAATGAAGGAGGCTCTGCACAGATGTGCTGCTCCAGTTTAATGTGAAGTTCAGACTGACACCGATGATGTCAGCTGTCATAACTACAGTAAATATTTGATGTGCAGCATAAACTGAGCAGCTGATTATAATTGGGCGTTTAGGTTTGTTATTGAACTCTAGTATTTATTTTTATTTCACTTTTTGATTTTTTTTGTGTGTTTTTAACTTGTTCTGGTTTTGGTTTTAATCGTGTTTATGTTACTGAGCTGTTCTGGTTGCAGCTCTTCTGTCAGAGGTTGTGTTGATGGTTTTTGGCTGCTGTAACTTTTGGGATTAATAAAGTTTAGTTTGTGTGTGATGTGCAGCCTGTCAGTGATGTCAGGCTCACAGACAGGCGGATAAAATCAGCCTGTCACTGTCCTCTAACTGAGGCTATCTGCTTCCTTAATGACTGGACAGATTTCCAGTGTTTCTGAGGTAAAATTCAAATCCTTTCTGAGCATTAACATCTCTAATGAAGTCAGTTTCTCTGCCTCTGTCATCATCAATGAGTTCAACATGATTATATATAAAAACTTAAACCATTTTAACTGAAACACATAGCTTTGAGATATTTTTTGCCATTTAATTTATTTAAATGTAATTAATTTTGGAATGAAAAGGTCAGATTAAAGGAAATATTACTTCTGATGTTCAAAGAAAGTGCGTCACCATTAAATTTATAGCTATTATTTAAATAACCTGCCTGCATATCATTACATCAGAAAAGACTGACAGGTGTAGGTGATGATGTAAGACTGCACCAGCGTTACTCTGAGCTGTATAAGCACCATCAGTGAGTCTGCAGTCATTCCTTAAATTTTCCATAAATATGTTTACCAAAACTTTTATAAAGGTTACAAGTTTTATCACATGTTACTTAGTTTACCTTAATTACTGATAAATATCTTCAAGTTTACATTTATATTGCCTACAGTCACATTCCTCTGTGATGCACTTTGTTTGAAATCCAGCATAGTTGACTTTAAAGCCCTTCACCTCTAAAATTATCATAAATTTAATCAGAGATTCGGCGATTAGTTGATTAGCTGATTGACAGAAATTACATCAGTAACGATTATTTAATCATTAATTTTGTGTAATTTTAAAGAGACAACTAAAATTATGTTTCCACTCTGAGGATTTTCAGCTTTTCTGTAATTTTTTTGTAATTATTTGAAGTTTCAATCTCTTCTCTTTATATATTTATTAAAATGAAAGAAACTAAATTAAAAAAAAAAAAGATTTGTTTAAATGGAAAATAACTGTTGATTGTTTCAGCACAGCTGCAAACGTTTTATAGAAAGATCTGAACCCTCTGCCGTGAGCGAGGTGGAGATTTGTTGCAGGGCTCTAGTTCCAACAACCCAGTAACCCAATAAACTGCAAACTGCGGTCACGGTTGTTTTTATAAATAAAACAGCCGTTTTTCTTAACATGATATTTTATTTGATACCTAATTACCTGAGAGGTGCAGTCATGTGACCCATTCAAAGAGCTTCCTCCATACTTGAATAGATTCACTGTTCATGTAATTTAAAGCCTCAGATTTAAAGCCACAACCTGCCAGTCAGCAGTAACAAACCAGGAAGGACTGCCATGAATCTAAAGTCAGAGTTTAACCTCCGGCTGTGGGAGTCATGAAGGTTTTTCTTCCTCACAGATGCAGTCTGTGCCCATGGAGGTGGGAAGCAGCAGCAGCAGCGGCTCAGTGGTTCAGGTTTGCTTCCCCGGCGCTCAGACCTCGGTGCTGGACAGCCTGAACCGGCAGAGAGAGGACGGCAGCCTCTGCGACCTCTCCATCCATGTCCAGGGGCAAGTGTTCAAGGCCCACCGCTGCGTCCTGGCTGCGTCCTCGCCTTACTTCCACGACCAGGTGGATGAACACACTGACTCTCACTCAGCCTTGGATCTTTATTAGCGTCAGACAAGAATAGCTGTCGCAGTTTGTGCCTGAGCAAAACTTTAGAACATTCGATTGCCTATAGAAAGACAGACAGGTGACAGGATTAGTTGGTCTTACAGACATTTTCAGTCGGTTGTGTAATCAGCAGCTTGTTTGCATTTTCTCCCAGTTTTCTCTGCTAACACAAGATCTGTGTCTTTGACACGCCGGAGACATAAAATGTGAATCTGGGTTTGAAGCCATCTGCCGCTTCTTATTTCTACCTCAGAAAAACAGAATAAACGAGGCGAGACAGAATAGATGTGAACAGTCACGCAGGTTAATTATATGGGAGCTCAGAGTTAGAAGATAATAAAGACCTACTGTGTGACAGCAGCCTCACACAAACACTTTATTTGTGCTTTTTTATGCTGTAATAATTGGTTTTCGAGAGAGCCTCAGTCATCTGCCAAATATCTGCTTAGTGAAACTGGTGGGAGGTTTCATCAGACCCCTGTTACCTGTCTGAGGGGCTGGCAGACAGATTTACTGTCTGTGTACACCAGAAAATCACTTGGAGCTGGACTCTGACCATGTGGGTAATGTTGCAGTGTGATGAGGGAGAGGAGGAGGAGGAGGCAGGAGGGATCGTTACAAAATGAAAAAGCTTCATTACTGTGATGTTGCGATCTCCATCCGCCTCCAGGTACTACTGAAGAACATGTCCACGGTCTCCATCCCGGCAGTGATGGACCCGCTGGCGTTTGAGAGCGTGCTGAGCTGCGCCTACACGGGTCAGCTCCAGATGCTCCGCGATGACATCGTCAACTACCTCACAGTGGGCAGCGTCCTGCAGATGTGGCACATTGTGGACAAATGCACGGAGCTACTGAAGGAGGGCCGAGCCGCGGCGGCAGGAGGGAGCAGCGGAGGTGGAGGAGGTGGGGCTGTGCAGGATGGAATGAGTGGAGCTGGAGGATCAGCCAACTCTGGCTGTAGCAGCAGCAATGGTGACGGTGGAGCAGGTGGTGGTAATGGAGCTGCTGGTGCTGGAAGTGTTGGTCAAGTCCAGGTTGTTGAGTCTAACGAGCCCCCGCGAGCCTCCCAGCCTCCTAGCCGCCCGTCGGTGAGCGAGAGCCAATCACCCAGCAGCACCAACTACTTCAGCCCCAGGGATGGGAGCAGCTTTGGGGGAGGTGGCGCGGCTGCAACGGGAGCTTCTGGGGATGGAGGCGGGGCTAACAACACCCCCAGCTACTGCACTCCATCAGGAGGCGAAGAAGCCTTCCTTATTGAGGAGGAAGAGGAAGCCGAGGAGGAAGAGGAGGAGGTGCTGTACCATCAAAGGAAACGAGGAAGCACAGGAGGAGGAGGAGGCAGCGGGAGGAGGAAGAAGATGAGCTCAGTGTCAGAGCAGGAGGTCGGGGTCAGCGACAGCTTTGGGGTTTCATCCTATCAGGTGAGGTCTGAGCAACCTGAAGATAGTCGACCTTTAATTTGTATGAAGAGCTTTTATTTTGAAAGAAAATTTGAACTTTAATAATCGAGTTAGTGTTTACAGTTTGTTTGTTTGTATCCTGTGTTTTCTGTACATAATGTGAAATATCTCAATAAAAGGACGGAGAGGACTCTGCGTTGCCGCTGCAGAAGCGTCCCACCTACAGCCAGCCCAGCATCATGCCTCGCAAGCAGTGGGTGGTGGTGAAAACCGAACGGACAGAGGACGACGACCTGATCGTGGTCTCCGGGGAGGAAGGAGGAGAAGACGAGGAGGATGAGGATGAGAGGGAGATGGAGCTGGCACGAGAGCGGGAAAGGAGCAACTTCAACATCTCAAACGTCAGGAGCCTTTCAGGCGAGCTCGGGGGCAGAGCGGAGAACGATATGGAGTCACAGGTGAGCTGGAACTGTAGTGTAATCAGATTACAGCTTTAATTATCCTGACAGTAGCTGAGGGGAGGTTTGCTTTGTAGAAATAATGACGCAGACCTGTTGTAAGCTGGTGCTGTGGTGGTTTTGCATATGACCAGTAGAGGGCGCTAAAACGTCACACAAAGAATTTCTAACTTAGAAATTTCTATCTTTAGTTAAAATAAGTTACAGCAACCAGAATGTGTAAAAAACATAATTTTTAACAGAAAACTTTCTTGATTTGTGCATCTGCTCTACAAATAAACTTGATTGATAGATATTTTTATATAATCGTAACCTCTAATATGTTTCCCTGTGTGTAGGTCGACTACTGCCAGTCTTCAGAGGACTACCTCAAGTTTGAAGGAAGTCTCATGGACCAAACTTTAGCGCAACACCTTCACGACGGCGCTGCAGGTCAGAACCAGAACGCTAACCGGGCGGTTTCGGCGCTGCTGGGTCAGGTTCAGTCTGCAGCCTCGGCCCGGGCTCAGCTCTTCCCACTGGACATGCAGGGAAACCAGATCCTGCTGTACAGCCAGGCCTCCGGACTCCCGCTGGATGCTAGCGCGCCGCCTCTGGGGATGGCAGGCGGTATGATCGGAGGGTCGTCCTTCAAAGGTCCCAGTATGGAGCACGGTGCAGTCCACCTGTCGGTGCAGGGTGGTTTGGGGGTGGATGGCGCAGAGAGCGGAGGAATTGGAGGCGGAGGCGGCAACAGTGGCGGCGGCTCTGGGGGTTCAGGGAAAGTGTTCATGTGTCACTGCGGTAAGACGTTCACCCACAAGAGCATGAGGGACCGCCACATTAACATGCACCTGGACCTGCGGCCCTTCCACTGCCCCGTCTGCGCCAAGAAGTTCAAGATGAAGCATCACCTCACCGAGCACATGAAGACGCACACGGGCCTGAAGCCGTACGACTGCCTCGGCTGCGGCAAGAAGTTCATGTGGCGCGACAGCTTCATGAGGCACCGCTCGCACTGCGAGAGGCGCAGCGGGCTGGGAGAGAGCGGCGAAGGTGGAAGCGGCAGCGATGGAGGGAGGAGAGGTGGAGGAGGAGGTGAGGATGGTCCAGATCTGATTTCCTCCCCTCACCTCCTCCTGTCTGCAGGTGAGGGTGGGCAGGGAAGCGTCCTGGGAGGTGGCGCGAGGGGAGGAACGTCAGTGTTGTCCCCGCAGCACGGCGGCCTCTCAGCCGCAGGAAGTGGCGGCGGTAACAGCAGCATGAGTAACAGCAGCAGTGCCGCTCTGAGCAACAACATGGCCGCTGCTGCAGGGGCGCTCCTCGGGGCGATCTCCCAGAGCCAGGGTCAGGGATCTGTGATGTTTGGCGGTCTGGGGTTGGGTCGGGGTGCGTGTGAGGAAGACGTGTGCGAGGTCAGTGCCAATGAAAGTAGCGTGACTTAAACCAAAATGTGTGCCGAATCCAACGGGCGCCTCTTTCCAAGCAAACAGCTGCTGGTTCCTGCTGCTGCTCTGAAAAGAAGAAGAAGCTCAGTGAGAAACTCTGAAACTCTTTTAACTGCCGACAGGCTTCAAACAGAGGTCGAGTAAAAAACAGGCGAGGCTCCCGTTGGACACGCACAACCTGAAGGACCTCCAGGGAAACGAGACTTTGACTTCCACTCATCTGCTGTGGCGTTTCTGAGACAAACGTGTGAAACTTGTTGTTGTCC